TAATATTTTAACCTTGTTAGTTTGGCGGTGAGAGCTTTCATTTGACCCGAATATGTGCCATCGTTTTAAGTTACAGTACAAACACCTCCATTGTCAGATTAATTTCCTGAATTAATTATTCGATGTTCCTAAGTATTGAATTATATGTTTTCATTATTAATAGTCAAAATAAAAAAATAAAGAGATGACTTCCTATGGCAAATAACAGAATTTGAATAAGCAAAAAAAAAAGAAAAACCCATATGTATGCATGCACACTGAAAAAAAAATAAAACTCAATACACATATGCAAAAAACAAAATCTTTATGTCACTGTTGTTTTCATGATCACTTCGTTTAATATATCATTTAAACATAGACGAACATCACTTTCAATAAAATCAATCATTATTGGACATGAACATCCTGCCATAGGTTCAACAATTGATGATTCAATGAAACGACTTGGATCTAAACATGCTTCTTGTAAATCACGAATATCGTGTGTGACTTCCCTAAATATTTTTAAACATAATTAATCAAAATTTTTCTAAATATTTTACCATCGACTTTCACATGAAAGACATTCAAATCCTAATTTATATTTCCATCGTTTTGAACGTCGAGCATGATTTTCAATTATATTATGATGTAAATCCTTCATTTGAGCTTCCAAAAGACTCAAACAATCGCGAATTGGACTAAGAGAACTAAAATTAATAATAAAAAAAAACAGATATAATGTCTGAAGCTGAATCTTTTAGTTTTATTTTTTTTCAAAAGTTATGCTTTGATACAACGGAGAAATATTTTAATTCATAGATGAATCTAAAAGCTTTAGAAATCAAGATAGATTTGAATAAGACTTCTTTCATTGATTTTTCCTTCCCTTCTAACAACACTGGTGTTTTTTCTGAGATCTAAAAAAACAGGTTTTTTAAACACATCTCTAGTTTTCTATTATTTGAAGCGTTAATGTCATTGCTTTTATTAACAAATAAAGCTCTGCATTCCTTTTCTATGCCACAGATAAGAGATTCCGATATACTGTAACGTTGAAGCACAGTCACAGCCTTTGTATACATCTCCTTACAAACCGCTATATTCATGGAATTTTCAGGAAATACTTGATTAGAGCAGACAATTCATTGAAGGAAATTTCAAAGTAAACTCCAAGTTCGTTTTTGACGAATTCCATCAATCAAGCAAACCATAGTCGTTTGCCACGAAATTCTGATTGATGATAGAGATAGCACTAAGCTCTCCAATAAAGAATCTAATGATGTCAGATATCACGCTAATGCTGAAATATTCTCGCCTGCAATAAAAAATCTGTGTCAAGTTTGTAGCTAGTTCACTTAAACGCTAACCTGGTCCTAATTGCTGCTTACTCCCAGAATTCATCTTGTCGCTAAAATATAGGCTCAAATTATTCGCGTTAAGCTACGTTTTACCGAATTATTGGGCTTTTGGCGACTGCTGTATAACGCAACCTTTTTAGATTTACATTTGATGTCGTACTAGAGAAAATTTCCAGCTGATAAATCGTTGTTAGGTCGGCGCTATGTCTATCATGTAGATTCAAATAAACTTTGAACATCTTGAAAAGAGTTCGGACCCTTCGCTTATTGCTGTGTAGATACTACGGATTCACAGTAGTTTCTCAATCAATGCTGTTAGCCTTTCAGCATCACCAGGAAGACACGCTATCTACGATAGCTATATCCTAAGATAGGAACAATCACAAGAAACTATTCTTGTTAAGATCTAGTTCTATGTAAAGTTTTAAGTCAAAACTCAAAACTCACTTTTCCTGATATTCGTGGGGAGGGCTATGGAATTTTTTTTTAAATCGTAAAATTGCAATATATCGGCAGCAATAAGATAAGGATCTGAACTATTTTGAGGCATAAATCACAGTCTCAATTAAAAATGGATTTACCAGAAATGAATTTGTATAATCTTATTCATAAAGAAACGCTAGCATCTTTAAGCGATAAACTAAAAAATACTTCTGTTGGTTCACTTATATGTTCTAATAGTAACAATAATGCTGCTCCACATAATATTCGGATTAATACATTACTTGCCACAGAATGGATAGAATTTATTGTTGAGTGTGACGAAACCAATAAAGATAATAGTTTTTGTTTCCATGATTGGTTCTCGGCGTTAGATAGCACAAAAGATGATCGATGGATATTCATTGCATGTGATGGAGCAGATAGTAAGATTTTATTGCCATGTATTAGTGTGTTAACAGATATAGCTTTAAATGCGCTAATCAGTCTTGGTATTAATCAAAATAGACGCTTATGGTTTATCTTTGATGAGCTTGCCAAATTAAAATACTT